CAATCTCCAATCATCAACTGTGCCATCCACAAGAAAAAAGCAGCGCAGCTCATTCCAAAACGAACGAGACCGAACGAAACCGAATCGATCCAGTTTTTTTTTGGGGGGGGGATGGGTCTCGAACGAGCCACGAGGACCGAGCGCGATGGCGCTACACCCACGGCCTTCCCCCGGCATCGTTTGGACGGGCACGTTCACCCGAACGCCACAAAGTGCATGGTCTTGTTGGCCATAGCGTCCCTCTGCTTGATGAACATGTCGTCGTTGGGGAACCTGTCTTTGGTGGACGATGCGAAGTCCGATGCGAAGTCCGATGCGAATGCGAAGTCCTTCTACCAACGCAACGGCAAAAACGCACCGAAGAAACGGAACCGACCGCACAAGGAGCAAGCACCACATTCCCAGAGGCGTCGGCGTCGGCGTCCCTTCGATCCGTTTTCCGACTTTCGGCTGAGAATCGTGGATCCCGATCGGAAGAACACAACAGCTKCRGCTGCAACTTCGGCTTCGGCGGCGGCTTCCCTGCGGTCCCGGTACTTCTCGTCCCACCGCTGCGTGGGGACGGGCTCCAACTTCCCGTTCCGACACACCAAGACACAATTCCTGAGCAACGTTGGCCAGTCGGAGCTCGGTTCCCTCTCCGCTCCGTTGCCCAGCTCGGGGGGCAAGCGGCCCAACTACACCAACCGCCAGTGCCTGTACACMAACCTGTACTACCGCCTCTCGGACCAGACCTTTCACTACCTGGCCTCCCCGGAGGAATCGAAACTCTGGAGGGACGCGAAGGAGGCGGCGGGAGAGGCCCTCGCCGAGGCAGCGCTAAAAAAAGGGCTAAATATAACGGCACATATCGGGAGCAGACGCGCCGGTGCCTGGGACGATCCATCGGCCGTCTTGCCCACCAATTTTCTGCCGCTCGTCAACCATTCGTTTGTCTATGAAGCCTACAGGGACTCTGCATCGCTGGCGATCCTTTGGGATTCCCATCCAATAGACGGCGGCGGCAGCGGCGCCAGCGGCAATCTTTGGACCTGGTCCCTCCTCTACGACGAGCTGGTAGACCGCATGACCGTCCAGATCGGTGGGGCCTCGGACGAGGCCAAGATCCCCCGCAACGTGAACCTGCGGCCGTGGAGGCCAATCCTCCACGCGCACAACGACAACGACAACGACAACGACAACGACACCGAGCCGCGGGACCACCAAGGTGGTGGTGGTGGTGGTCGTCGTCGTCTGCCGTGGGGCTCGCTGCCGGCAGCGGCAGGGGGCGATCCAGCGGTCGTGCCGAGGATTGCCGTTCTGGACGTCCATCGCGACGACGGGAACGACGACGACGACGATGATGACAACCACAACGACGACGACGACGACGATGACAACCACAACGACGACGACGATGATGACGATGATGATGACAACCACAACGATGACGACAACGACGACGACGACAACAACAACAATGACGACAACGACAACGACGACAACCACAACCACAACGACAATGACAATGACAACAACGACGATGACGACAACGACGATGACAACAACGACGACGACAACCACAACGGCAACAACCACGGGAAAAGCACCGGTGATTTTTATCTGGCCCTCTATCAGCCGTTTCACTCGTTTAACATTGGCCACCTGGTATGGGATGATTTGCTGTCGCTGTTTTCCCTCCACGACCGCCTGGTTTGGAACGACGACGACAACAACGAACACGAAGACGAACACGACACCGGCCATCGCCACGGGACCGACGACCTGATCGTCCCGCTCTTTGTCGAGTTCCCCAACCCTAGATCGCGCTCCAACGTGGGGGGCCCGGATCCCTTCTWTAGGTGCATGCCGTCCAACCCCACCAAGTGGGTTMWGTGCGTCGAGACCTACCGCAGGGTCTTTGGGGCTCTGACCGGGGTTTTGCCCGATTTCTGCACCGGGGACATCCTCCGGACCGGAAACTGGTGGAAGGGCGAGGCCGAGATCGGCCGGTGGGACAGAAGMTCCGAAAAGCCGGGGGCGAGGCCCGCAAGCTGCCAGGCGGAAAAGCCAACGGGAACGCCGCGAAACCGGGTCTCTGCATCCCTAGGCGAACGCAGCGGTCGGGGGGACGCGGTGGACGGGGAGGAGAGCGAAAGCGAAAGCGAAAACGAAAACGAAAGCGTCGACTACGTGCTGGTTCCGAACGTCCTGGCCGGGGGGGGCCGCCTCGGGCAGTTCTCGTGCGACGGGGCCTGCTCCCTGGGCCGGGGCAGGGAGCTCTACCGGTTCCGGAACTGGCTGCGGAGGAACATCGGGGCCACGGCCGGCAGCAGCAGCAGCAGCAGC